GCTTTTCCATTTTTACGAAAACCACAGAGGCGTCTTGTTCAGCGTGCTGTCAAACCTACACTAGCAAGGAGATCGGGCTGAAACTATAGCTACAAGCTATCCAAGGATGGTACTATAGAATGTCACCTCAAGGTAGGCCTAGTGGCGTCATCTCTTGGTTAGGCCGGAAACTTATCAATCCACCCTCGTATTATAAGTGTTTTTATTTTTACTTGTACAGAAAACCTCGAAGCAATTATTCCTTAAGGTATTCTATAAGTATTTAGTCCTTTGGTGATTTTTGGAAAGCAGATTTCTTTAGAAAATGCAGATCAATGAATATTCTTCGATAATAACAATATTTTGTTACTTAAATATTAATTGTAAAGCGTCCTTATCTACACGAACTGTAAAAAACGATTTCCACCGGCTAAAATGCATGCATCCAATTTTCTCTTGTTCCGTAAAGTTTTGATAAACGCGGTCGGTAAGTGTTCCTGATAAAATTCCAACCTAAACGATATTCCAGCACGTACATACCTCATATAGATTTTCTTACACCTACACACTTATTGAAAAATGTCCTTATTACAGAATTGTGTACTATAAGAACTTTAATTTTGGGTAGGTACATTAATAATTTTAAAAATATTAAAATTTGTTTTGTCGAAAAGCATTTATCTTCAATCAAGAATAGAATAATCCAATTAAGAGAAATTGTTATCTTTTTCTAATTTCCTGTTATATTTTTTCTTTGTTTTCTGGATTATAATAGTATCAATTTACCACGCACGTTTCTGTTCTCATTAGCGGTCCTTACGTTTTGACAGCTCTAATTAAACATATTATCAGGCAATTATTTAAGTATTTTACGGGCAGACACGTGTATTATATATATATATAGGAGCAAATAAGGATATCTTGTAAAGTCCTGACTAGGTTCATCTACACCGNTATATAGCAGAAGATAAATGTTTTAGAAGAGGATGTTTTGGAAAGTGCAAGGGAAGATTATTATTATCTTTGCACTTTAACGAAGATAATGCGTTGATAAATCATTGTCTGATTGGACAAAGTCATCAAACTTAAATTAAAAAATTAATCTTTGGGAATCGAATAAAAAAAATTAAATATTAAAAAAAAAAACTACTTTTTTTTCATGATTCATAAATAAAGGAATACAGGTAAACAACATTGTCTTACATTAAAAGAAAAAAATAAATAACTTTATTCCTTTAAGAGTTAAATTACTCTTGAAATGAGCTAATGTAAAATGTAAATAAAACACTGGGAAAATTGATATTATTTTATTATTGATATTATCATCATCCCCAATCGTTAACAGTGTCCGTATAACATTTGTTGTGTAGTCGTTGTTGTAATTGCTATTGTTTATTTACCGTGTCCTTTCAGTTCGGATAACCAGTCACTTATTATATTAACAACTCTACTTTTTGCCTGTTTCAACACATCAGAGTCTGAGTCGCTAATCGCGCCCAACTCAGCAGAATGCGAGGTGCCATTGATAATAATTGTAATTGCATACTCATTTAAATCCTCCTGTAATCCCACCCTGGACCACGGATCCACCGTACCATGGCATGTAATAAGTCGTGTCACGTCCGGTTTATAGCCACCGTAAAACAGATTTGTTCGTTCAACTCCACTATCGATTGTGTAAGAATTATATCTAAAAATTACTTAAATCACAATCGATTTTTTAATTTTTAGGGTTCCGTAAGTCCGAATGAAAAACGGAACCCTCATTGGATCACTCGTGTGCCTGCCTGCCTGTCCGTTTGTCACACTCAATTTACTCCAAATCTACTGGACCAATTAAGTTGAAATGTGAACCCAAACACGGACGCATAACGTAAACAAATTAATTTTAACATGGGGGTCATTTTTTGGGGAGTCAATAGAAAGTTATAAAAAATAGTTTTGTAAACTGTACCGTGTGATATATCAAATGAAAGGGCTTATTGTAAGGGTCTCAAATATGTAATTTTAAAATAAATAGTTTTTAAAGTTATTCCCTAGCCCCTTATCTCCTATGATACTGAACCTAAAATTTAAAAAAAAATACAAAAAACAGTTCTTTTGTTATACAGGGAAATGAATAACAAGTCTTTGGTCTGAACATAAAGTGAAAAATCAAGGGAAAATATGTTTTTTTAACTACAATGTTAAGTTGGTTCTTGCTTTAGGGTTCCGTACGCCCAAATAAAAAACGGAATCCTTATAGAATCACTTATGTGTCTGTTTGTTCGTTTTTTGTTTTAACTTAAATTAATATTTTCACATTATTACGCGATACTTTCGTAATACTGCCACTTCTAAATTTTCATGATTCACAATTATGAAAATTTTTACTTACTCTTTACCGAAAAGATCCATGCACATTTGATAATACATTTCTATTGTATATGTATCACCGAAAGCGCGTGTTTGAAACCATCCAAACTGAGTACACATTTGATACATCCATTGACGCACTTAAATCAAAAGAAAATAAGTGATAGATGCCTTTTTTGTAGAAGAAAAGGTTTGGACTTTATACCAAAATAGGTATGGGTGGTACATAGTTTAATTCAAAGTATTGAAAGGCAACTTTGTCATAATTACATTCATCGGTTGAATACTTACTGTCGGTTGTATTTAATGCTGTCGTAGAAAGTGTTTTTACATCATCGCTATAAGATGGTAAACATTCTGAGGTTACTCTTACATACTTTGCTAGTTTTTCCATATCAGACCCTGTTTGATTCTCTATATATCTACATACGGCCGCCGGGTCTCCGGGTTGGGCGTATTGAACTACACTACCAAGGTTGAATGGAATATTCTGAAGAAAATAAGCTTTGTCTATTTCTACTGATGCATTAACAACCTCACAAGCACTGAAAGAATTTAGAAACATTATTTAAGTGGTCTGTTGCAATGTACAGTAATAGTTCCTTATTCGCGGGTGAAAAAATTGCAATCCAGTTCGTGTATTCGCGGCTAAAAATTTCGTTATTCGCGGATGCAATTGTAAATAGACCGAGCGGCATGGCCTAAAGGTTTAGCATTCGGGAGGACGCCGGTTCGATTCCGGGTCCGTCTGCCTTGGTCCAAGTTTTTCTGTGGTTTCCTTGGATCACCTAGGGAAATGCTGAGGCAGTAATATTCCACAGATAATCTTTCATTCTCTTCTGTCTTCATTTCGTCCGTCTCAACTTTCTCACCCGAACCACCACCCACCCATTCCCACGATTCCTGAAAGGAGGCTGAAGAGGGTCTTCCGCCCTACCTTCCGGCATAGTCCGGAGGGACTGCCCGTCCGCCAGCATTAATATGGTGGGAATGAAACACCCAAAAGTTTTAAAGTTTTTATTGTAAATAGAAAAGGATTCGGTGTTATTTATTAAGAGGATTGACCGCAATAGGCCGTTCATGCCTAGTTTCCGAAACATGGGTTTCTATTCTAAACATTGTGATTTAACGCTTCGAGATAAATATGTGATGTTTGTATGGACAGACAAAAGTTTACACTAACTCGGTACGTTTTTGGTTTTCAATAACATAGTCATTAAAAGCTTTTACAAGTACTTAAAGTTGATGCTCCTTGTGGGACACGTATTTTCAATAGAAATTAAAACATTAAAAAATGTCCTTCGTTAGGCTTTAAAAAAAAGCTTTATCTATCTTACTACAAAATTTCAAACCTCTGTTCCAAACATTAAACTCATGATATCTAGAACCGATAAGCATGTTTTTACTCTACGCCGCATATACTACTGAATCCCCTTAATGTATCGGCATTTTTTGAGTATGTACTGTTGGTACGTGCCGAGGCGACTTATATAAAAGATTGTAACCATGTGGATTAATTCAAAGTACGAAACAAGAAAAAATCACTAAATTTTTTAAACCCTTGTGTACAGCTGATTATAACTTTTAATTGCGAATTTCTCAATAAATTGATTTTATTCTGATACATATACGTATACCCAGCGAATAAAGAGCTTTTACCGTATATGCAAATAAGAGGAAGACTCACTTAAACAATTGTGATACATTGTTAGCACCCTCTTGAGTTTCTAGCATTTCCATTACTTCAACCATGGCTCTTCTGACTAGGCGCGAACATGAGGGGGAAGCAAGGCGTAGATTTTCTTCCACAACTTCATAATATCCTACAATATACCTTTGAAAGCCCACAATTCAATTCGTAAATTATACGATGCGAAAATAAAAAATATCAAGAATGTTCGATAATTGTAAAATATGGGTCAGGTCCCGGTGAAAGTCGGTTGATATAAGGCAGGTGATATAAATAGTGCACACTAGAAGTCCAAACGGTGTTATAGATTCATATGAAGGGTGATATAACTAATTACACAGTGAGATAAATAAACGATTGTTTATTTAGTGTGCTACTGTGTAAAATCGCTTGTTTTCAGAGAAGAGAACGCAAAAGCTAAACTTTTGCTTTTATTTTAAATGCTTTTTTCTAAATATTGTTGACGAACAATTTAAGTCGAACCCAATGGAAACAGCAATTTCTTTCATATGTTTTATATATGTATTAGGTAGTAGGTATTATATTTTTCAAGTAATTTAATAATTTTAGTTTACAATAATTACTTTCAATGGATGAAAACGTAGGTATATCTTTCTTATTAAAAACTGTATGCATAGGAAACAGAAAATGTTATTCGTCGTTTCGACCGTCTTTTACTGAATAATTTTTGTGATATATGTACGCTACAAATATGTTGCTCATTATTTACCTGTAAAATCAGCTTCTGCAAAGACACCACCACTGGAGCAATAAGCAATGTCTATTATATGAGGGTATTTTATTCTTGCCCATGTTGCTAAAGTTCCAGCATACGATGCACCAGTAACTATCACCTAAACATCATTTCAAAACTTATTTTTCTTATCATTGACCTACATTTGAAACAGGCGAACGCAACTCAGAGAACTTATTTATTTCAATACAAAATCAACCCTTTAGTAGCAAGAAAATTTATCTTATCTATTTAAAAATCAAAAAGAGCTAATCCATGTATTAAAAAATAGTAGACAGAAAATAATCCTTTGCAAAAATTTATTAGTATTAAATTTGATTATTTAGGAAATTAGTCAAAGTTGATTCAAAAGTTTAGATAAAATTTAGATCAGATCTAATTAAAACCCTAATTTTTGTTTGCTTCATACTGAAAATGAGTATAGATAGCAATTAAATGGATTGTAATGATGACTTTTTGTATTAGGTCATTTTTCTAATTGTAAGCTGTTTTTTCAGACTAGGTATACAGTTGTACTTTTGCATTTGCTCTTTACTTACTGTACTGTTTCGAAGTCCTGTCATGTTTCGCTTTTGGTACTCAATGAAATACGCAAGGTCTGCTAGAGCTTGGTCAACAGAAAAGTATTTGAAACTATCGGATGATAAGTCGCTACGAAATAACCACATTGTGAAAATGAAAAACGTTCAACTTCAATTTGACCATATAGATATTAATTAATAGTAATACCTTGTTGGAAAACTGTTACCATAAAATCTATGCTCTGTATATAATAATGATGCATTATGTAGTCGGGCGATGTCAAAGAAAAGGCCTGACATAGTCCAGTCTATTGAAATAGTCCATTCACCCCCTATAAACACGATTATGGGACCACCTTCTTCATAAAAGGCGTTATTTCGTATATATCTCTAAAAATACCGTCAGTATACTTTAAGAAGAAAAAAAATCTTCTTATCTCTCTATGAGTTAATGCAAAAGTTCAAATTTTGCTTTTAATATTTTATGCAAGAGTCAAAATTAGAATAATTTTTACCATTTCCCATGTTCTGTTGTCTGCTGCATTGAAATGGTCAACTTTTTGAGTAATTGTACCCCATTCAGGTGTTGTTGAAATTTGAGGTTCGCTGGCCGCTGGTAATCCTTGACGGATAATTGGCGGTTTACCCTAAATAGAGTAATTTACTTCTGTGATGAGATAGAAAAAGAAATAATTTGTTTCGTTGCATCAGAGCAACAAATCCAATAATTATTAGCTTGTATTTTTTGTAATAAGTTAAAGTAAAACATAGAAAAAAGTTAAGGTAATATTCATTACTGAACACAGGTGAGTTTTTTGTACTTTATTTGGCGAGTTGACCCTAAAATTTTAGTTGCGCGCACAGTATACAAAGAGGAACAGAACTCTCAACGTCTACTGTCAACTGATAGTTGGCATTGACAAAAACAAAATTATTTTCTATACATTCTAAGATTCTGGAAATAAGTAAATTTTGTTTCAGATTAATATTGACATATGTACATACACTGCACTACTCAATAATTGTTGAAATTTTTGAAACAATTTGAGACATTCACATAAAACAAGTTAGGATATTGTAGTTGATTCATTCTATTTGGTTGTATTAAAATAATACTTTGGAATCGCAAGAAAACAATCGTATACTATAAGATATTTCGTTAAACTATACATGCCATATTTAAAAAAGTAGTATAAGTAGTTAATATAAAATTTTCANTAAATATTTTTTGTTTATTAATTTTTAGAATATAAAATTTTGAACTTACACACTCAAACTATGTAAGAATGTAAGATCTTATTATAATAAAGTCCATTATCATCAGTCAAGTTCCCTGAAAGGATTACAATAAAATAACTTTATCAGGACCGTACTGGGATAGATTAGGAATTTCGTATAGGCTTATAATACGGCAGTCAAGTTAGAACCGGATCGAAATACTGTAAGAGGCTACGATAAGGCAATCAAGTCAGGGCCGTATCAGGATAGGTAAAGGATTTCATAACAAGGGATCTGATAAATATCGTAATAGGGCATCTCTACTACAGACTGATCCTCTCAAGATATGGCTATTAGGGCTAATCCTGTTTCATTTCTACTCGGGTTCGTGATCGAAGAAGCAGGTTCATGGTTGATAAAATTTAATAAGTGATACCTTACAGCAAAATATTCGAAATGCTTAACGTAATACAATATTGAACACTTAACGATTATAGATTGTACACCTTTCATTAGTGATTCTCTTCTATTTCTACTATAATTGCAATCAATGAAGCCCTTAACAAAAATAGTCTACATTAGGTATTCCTAGCTACTTTGTATTAATGCCCCTAACGTTTCATCAGAATTGATTCAGCTATTTCGAATATTAACCCGTAATAACTTACAATAAACTATATAATCAGACAGATACACTTCAATTTTTTTAGGTATATTTTTTGATTTTTACATTTAAAATCTGTAGGGACTCACCTCAACTGAAAATGTTCCTGTAGTCAAGAGAAGAGTCAAGATACCAAAAAGTTCCCACATGTTTGTTAGCAACACCTTTATAAGAATCATTATTAGTATACTTTTCTGTTTTCCACTAAACAGTGAGACTCGTGTGAAAAAATAATTACTTTCACTTTCCTTTTATATCTAGCAGGGTTGTATCAGAAAATAAGAAATTATCTTTTGATTGATAATGACAAATGCCTAAAATCTCATAATCATTAAAAGGCCACATTATTTTTATTATCCCTTGAAATTTCGGCGTATGTTTAGCAAATACCCTGTATATTGAGGGTAAGTCTGAATTTATTAAATCGTACCTTTCCTGCTTTCCCATTATGGTAGTTTTCTGTGGGAAACATTATCCTGATTTTAATATGCATTTTGTGGCTGGTAGACTTAAAAATAATAATTTAACCACATATATCTTTATTGGTAGGCATATATCATCCTGTGCGTTTTTGAGTCTTTCGACGCTACACGTGTCAGCGGTTAGAATGTGTCTCTAGATAAAATTTATATTACACTTAAGTTTGTAACCTTGAGTTTTGCGTAATTCATTTTTATATATATTGTGAGCATTTAGCAGAATAGTTTTGTTTAAATTTTACCCTGCTTTAAGACGCGTAGTGCTAAATTTTATTATGGCAGATACTGATTGAAATTTAGCTGAACGCCATGTGAAACACATTTAAATAATTACAAACATAATTTTTTTCACTTCAGAGAATAAGACTCTTTGATTTATTTTTTATTATTTATTCTAGTAAGGATTATTGTAAATAGATTTATAGTACGTTCGTAATAAAATTAGTTCAGCACTTTACAGGATTTACATTTTTAAATTTTCATTCGTCTTCATAAGACCGTCAGTCCTAAGATTGGTGGGATACGCACCTCCACTCTTTCCTATCCTGAGCTAATTTTAGCATTTATAGAAAACTAAAACAAACCACATCCTTCTGCCTCCAATATGTCTCTGACTAGAACCCCCATGCTAAAAAAGGTGACCTATCAACCTATCTCGCCTATTCCTTTTTGATTCTAATAGAGTCCTTTGTTTTCCTATTCTTTCAAATACCTTTTTATTTTCTTTGTTTCCTTTTCCACCGCGCCCACTTCCATACATTTTTATTGATAAATATAAAATAAAAAGTACCTGTTCAGTGGCTACTTTACTATTTGACGAAGATGAAATCATAAAATGTAAAAATGAAAAGGTTTTGCATAGGAAAATAGTGGAGAAGGTCACTATTGAATTCTCAAAACACCGAAACAACAGTTTATTGTAAATAATGTACCCAAAGCTAATTCCCCTGCACTCCAAGGTTTCAACAATATTTTCCCTTATTTAACCGAACAATACACTTATGAATACAAGAAAATTTTGCTTTGATAATGTCCAGATTCACTTTGCTTTTACGTATTGATGAAATACCTACTTTTACTTAGCTTTAAATAGTCAGAATATATTTCAAGCACACCAAACTTTTCGAATGCTCCACCATTAAGAAAGTATGAACCCATTTCACTGTAAAAATAGGGAAGAAAAAGAAGGGAAAAATCCCCTTTCATTTGATACATATTTGTGTCATATTTATTTAAAACACATTGCTGAATATTAATTAGTTTGTAGATGTAGAAACCGCTAACCCAAATAATGCATCTTCTTCCAACGACAAACAATTGCAATACAGCAAACAATACTGCAAAAAAATAAACCACAACACATTGAGTATCTGAACCCTTTTCTTTTGATACATATTTGTATGATTTTTTTTAACACAAGTTGCATAAATATTAATCAGTTGGTAAATGTAGAAAGCGACAACTCAAATAATACAACTTCTTCCAACGATGTACTATTTAAATATAACGATCAACAATATAAAAAATAAACCACGACACATGGAATATGTGAACCCCTTTCTTTTTATAGATATTTGTATCATTTTTATTTAAAACTAATTGCATAAATATTAATCAGCTTGTAGATGTAGAAAACGACAAACACAAAAAATTCATCACTTTCCAACGAAGAATAATCGCAATATAGCAAACAACACAGCAACAAAATAAATTACGATACATTGAGTATCTGAACCCTTTTCTTATGAAACATATTTGTATCATCTTGATTTAACACAAATTCCATAAATATTAATCAGTTCGTAGATGTAGAAAGCGACAAACCAATTTATACAACTCCTTCGAACAATGTACATTTTAATATATAACGATCAACAATATGAAAAATAAATTACGTCACAGAGAATATGTGAACCCCATTCGTTTTATACATATTTGTATGATTTTCTTTTGTTTAACACAAATTGCATAAATGTTAATCGGTCTGTAGATGTAGAAAGTGAAGACCCAAATAATACGACTTCTTCCAACTATGTACAATGTAAATATAACGATCAACAATATAAAAAAAAATCCACGACACATAGAATATGTGAGAACCTTTCTTTTTATACATATTTGTATGATTCTTTTTTTAACACAAATTGCATAAATATTAATCGGTTTGTCGATGCAGAAACCGCAAACCCAGATAATACGACTTCTTCCAACGATGTACAATTTAAGTACAACGATCAAAAATATAAAAAAATAATCCACGACACATAGAATATGTCAACCCCATTCTTTTTATACATATTTGTATGATTTCTTTTTTTGTTTAACAAAAATTGCATAAATGTTAATCAGTTTGTAGATGTAGAAAGTGAAAACCCAAATAANATAGCTACAAGCTATCCAAGGATGGTACTATAGAATGTCACCTCAAGGTAGGCCTAGTGGCGTCATCTCTTGGTTAGGCCGGAAACTTATCAATCCACCCTCGTATTAGCCAGCTCTTGCTTTATTATTTATACTAGTAATTTACGCAATTTAATTTATGCCGGAAATTAACGAAACAATCTGCGTATGTTCTTCTGTATGTTCTGAATTTGTATTTGCAAGAAGGCCATAACACGAAGGTAACCAGAAGGTGCTATAAATTCGCTATGACTCTTATCGGTAGAAAGCACAACTACCGATTTCTGTGAATTCAGACAGTAATTGGGTATTTTGCGCAAGGTTAATCGCAGTTGAAATTTGAAGAGGTCAGATAAGAAATATTATATTTAGAGACCGGATACGTATTATAAAATAAATTACTGAACAGAAATAGCTTCAGGATGTAGTAGGGACAATCATCCATTTTAAATTAATCTTAGTCCTTAAATGTTAAGACTTACAAGATAATTAATGTTTTATAGACAAACTAGTATAGTTAACAATAGTTTCACAGGATAATTCCCTATTATAGATAAGTACGTATGAGAATACGAACGTCTATTTTTTATATCGACTAAGATAATAACTTTTCAATTAATTTGGGTTTATCTTTTATTTTTCTACTATAGATTAAGAAAAAGATAATCTAAATCTTGAAAATTCAGTCTTCTTAATGGGCTTGTTAACTATTGCTTGCTCTCGGTTTTTTATTTTATTTTGCATATAGTCAAATCTTCGTATTGTCAAGTTGTCTATTGACGATTAATTGAAATTAATTATCAACTAAACTTCGAAAATATTATTTTAATCAATTTGGCATTCATTTTAAAATAATACATGATTAGAATCCAATGAGTTATTATTTGACTTTGAACAGGCCCATTTATTCAATCCACCCACCCTTTCTGTAATGTATGTTAGCTGTTTTAGTTACCTAGGTGGCATAAAGAAAAAAATAAATAACTTTAAGTTACTTGACACACTCTAAAGGAAAGCGATTCTATCATAGAAAAGATTTTTTCTGTTTTTGACACCATGATGCTTCTCCAACAAAATTAACTTTTCCGTATTAAAGTAAGCATTAACGTTATCATGAATACCATCATCATCAAGTCTTTAGCCCAAACATTGCTACGCAACTCCGATTTTTTTTCAGTCGTGAGCCAATCTTCGCATTTTCAAACATCTCTAACTATTTGAGAACAGTTATCTAATCAAAGTCTAGATTTGCCCCTCTTACCGCCTGTTCTTGCTTCTAATACATCTTAAAGTAAACATTCATACTGTCCTATAGACCCCCTATCATTTACTGAATTTCATTGCGCCCTCTGTTCAGATACTCTTTNCCACGACACATAGAATATGTGAACCCCATTCTTTTTATACATTTTTGTATGATTTCTTTTTTTGTTTAACACAAATTGCATAAATGTTAATCAGTTTGTAGATGTAGAAAGTGAAAACCCAAATAATACGTCTTCTTCCAACGATGTACAATGTAAATATAACGATCAACAATATACAAAAATAAACCACGACACATAGAATATGTGAACCCCATTCTTTTAATACATATTTGTATGATTTCTTTTTTTGTTTAACACAAATTGCATAAATGTTAATCAGTTGGTAGATGTAGAAAGTGAAAACCCAAACAATACGTCTTTTTCCAACGATGTACAATGTAAATATAACGATCAACAATATAAAAAAATAATCCACGACACATAGAATATGTGAACCCCATTCTTTTTATACATTTTTGTAACAAATTGCATAAATGTTAATCAATTTGTAGATGTAGAAAGTGAAAACCCAAATAATACGTCTTCTTCCAACGATGTACAATGTAAATATAGCGATCAACATTGTAAAAAAATAATCCACGACACAGAATATGTGAACCCCATTCTTTTTATACATTTTTGTATGATTTCCTTTTTTGTTTAACACAAATTGCATAAATGTTAATCAGTTTGTAGATGTAGAAAGTGAAAACCCAAATAATACGTCTTCTTCCAACGATGTACAATGTAAATATAACGATCAACAATATAAAAAAATAATCCACGACACATAGAATATGTGAACCCCATTCTTTTTATACATTTTTGTATGATTTCTTTTTTTGTTTAACACAAATTGCATAAATGTTAATCAGTTTGTAGATGTAGAAAGTGAAAACCCAAATAATACGTCTTCTTCCAACGATGTACAATGTAAATATAACGATCAACAATATAAAAAAATAATCCACGACACATAGAATATGTGAACCCCATTCTTTTTATACATTTTTGTATGATTTCTTTTTTTGTTTAACACAAATTGCATAAATGTTAATCAGTTTGTAGATGTAGAAAGTGAAAACCCAAATAATACGTCTTCTTCCAACGATGTACAATGTAAATATAACGATCAACAATATAAAAAAATAATCCACGACACATAGAATATGTGAACCCCATTCTTTTTATACATTTTTGTATGATTTCTTTTTTTGTTTAACACAAATTGCATAAATGTTAATCAGTTTGTAGATGTAGAAAGTGAAAACCCAAATAATACGTCTTCTTCCAACGATGTACAATGTAAATATAACGATCAACAATATAAAAAAATAATCCACGACACATAGAATATGTGAACCCCATTCTTTTTATACATTTTTGTATGATTTCTTTTTTTGTTTAACACAAATTGCATAAATGTTAATCAGTTTGTAGATGTAGAAAGTGAAAACCCAAATAATACGTCTTCTTCCAACGATGTACAATGTAAATATAACGATCAACAATATAAAAAAATAAACCACGACACATAGAATATGTGAACCCCATTCTTTTTATACATATTTGTATGATTTCTTTTTTTGTTTAACACAAATTGCATAAATGTTAATCAGTTTGTAGATGTAGAAAGTGAAAACCCAAATAATACGTCTTCTTCCAACGATGTACAATGTAAATATAACGATCAACAATATAAAAAAATAAACCACGACACATAGAATATGTGAACCCCATTCTTTTTATACATATTTGTATGATTTTTTTTTTGTTTAACACAAATTGCATAAATATTAATCAGTTTGTAGATGTAGAAAGTGAAAACCCAAATAATACGGCTTCTTCCAACGATGTACAATTTAAGTATAACAATCAACAATATAAAAAAATAATACTGGACACATGGAATATGTGAACCTCCTTTTGTTGGATACAAAATTGTATCAAACACAGGAGAAATGAATCAATTTGTAGGTATGCATAAGGGACAGCCCGAACCATAACAGTGGTTCCTACTGGAGTCTATTGAAATTGATTTTTTTAAAACCAATTACTGTAGAAGTTACAAATTACATATTCGTTTGAAGGAAATAAGTTGTCAGGATTAGCTCCGAGACGTTTACTGATTGCATATTAGTTTGCAATCAGCTTGGATAGTCACATTAATAGCAGAATGCCATTTTAGGTTAAGGTTTGATCAGAACAAATAATCTGATCAGTACAAATAATCCATATTAAATAACAAATGCATTACCATCAAGTTACAGACTGTTTCAAAATATATAAGCGTAAATATATTATAGTATTTTCGACCATGACTTTCATATTCTTGTTAATAGATTACATGTTATGCAACCCGCAGAACTGTGATTGTTGATATTCAGAAAATTGTAATTTATCGTTTATTTTAAATAATTACACGCAGATAAATGGATTTTACGAATATTTTAAATAGAACAAATGTACAAAGCAGCCGATGTTGTAATATTACAATGGAATTGATTAATTAGTGTATTGTATTATAGGCACAAACTGCCATGTTGTAATACCGTCAACGCAGGAGTAAAAATTTAAGTAAAATAAAACATGTGTATTACCTAATTACCTTTACCATATCAGTAAAATTGCACTAAAATATTAATTTCGATAATATTCACCACAGATATGAATATCTTTTACTATGAGGAAACTAATTTAGGAAGAACTCATATTTTGATGTGTAGTTTGCAACGCCATCACAGCAAAAGAGTGAAACTTTCGGCGGGTGGGGTATAAATACCTACCATTGTTTCAGCGGAATCAGCCAATAAGAAGCTAGTAAAATTTCACAAGTAGGAATGACTATGAAAGCACTTTTTCCTTAAATAAATCAAATTTAATTAATAATAGAACATCATACTTGCATATTTCTTAAATTGGGTGATTAATATTGTATTAAAAATATACCGACAGAAAATTGTACGTCACAAGCTCGACCAATAGAAAGCAAGCAAATGGCCGCGAAATAAACGCGGCAAAGGTTTGAAATTTTAAATAATAATCAAAAGTAAGGCTTGTGCCTACCAGAAGATACTATTAGTTTTCTTTTAAATTGCATTGTTAGTTTATTACAAGCAACAATAACAATGAGAAATAAATAAATAAATATTTATCTTTTACCTAATACCTAAAAATACTAAATAATAGTAAGCAAAATTTGTACGTATTTTTACTCAAAACGTAATGATACTTTTACAGAATCTTTGCTTTCTGTCAATGCAATTATTTTTTAGAGTAAATCTTATTCTGCCTTTTCAATGAGTAAAATGTGAATTATGAATTTGCGATAGGTATCTACCAACTCAGCCGTATTGATTTTACTGAATAATATTCTAACTTGTTTACCATTTCTAGGTACCTAATACTAATAGTAAGTACGTCGTTCAAAACAAATTAATAATTCCCTGCAGATTCAACAATTTCTACAAGGCGGAATCAAGTAATTCTAAACAATAGACCACCCTGTTATTATCTATGTATATAGACGAATAAAAAATTAACATGTCTTTAAATGTTCTGTTCATTTAAATAATAAAACAAACATATAATATTTTAATATTACACGAAACTAATCCGATGAGTTTTTATTTTTGTCAAACGATGTTCCAAATTTTTCCAAAGTTTTTGTTTAGGTAAATGTATTAGGTATCATCATCATCATCATCATAGAATCGTCATTTTTAAGACTGGTTGGAAACGTACTTACACTCTTTCCTATCCTAAGCTAATCTTCTCATTTCCATAAAACTAGAATATCCCAGATCCTTAACTATTTGTAAACATAATCTAATCTAGGTCTACCTTTACCCCTCATAACTCCTGTATCTGCTTCTAATAATACTATTGTGTACCTGATTCTATAAGGTCATCAATTTATATAGAAACGCGTTTATGCAAACTTGTACGATTATCACAATATTTTTGTTTCAAACCTGGTATATGTTTGTTGTCCCTTTTTCTTAATTTGATACAAACTTTTGATTGATAAATCAAAAAGAACGATAAATCGTATTTTTCAGATGCATGCATGTATCCTCATTCCATTTATAATTAAGAACAAAAACAAGTTGCCACATTTTTCTATATTCCTCATTTATAATATGAAGAAATGATACAAAATACGAAAGTTAAAGCGACTAATCTCAATCAAGGCGACAATTTCGTTAAATCCATAAAGTTTTTGATACTAATAGGAAATTTTTTCTGTGCTATACCATTAAAGGGTTTGTACGGGGGAAATGAACACAATCAAATTAAATTCGAATGGATACATTGGAGAACTTTGCTAAATATTTTTATAACAGTCGCGCAAATATTTGTAGTGATTTGCTATATATGTATTATGGTTTATAATGGTTTTCGAATTACTTATTTAGGTAAGAAAATGATACATTTTCCTTGCACAAAAGTAATTGAAATAGGTAAGGGTGTTAGTCGTTCTATTTTCTTGTTTTATCTATCTGTTTACTGTACTAATCAGTATGTATTCATTAATTTTCAGCAACCGCAGTTTTCTTTGCTAATTGTTTTCTATCGTTTATATTCTTTCTACTTCTTTCGAAAGATTGGATTCTAATTCTGAAGGAATGGGATAAGTTAGAGAAACGCGTTAATAGATACACTTGCAAATATAAGACGAATATGCAAAGGAAAATATTGTTATTAACAATAACATTTCTAATATTGGCCTTAAGTGAGTTTTTATTGTCTTTAGGAAATAATAATTAATCGGTGAATGTATTTATCAGTAGGACTTAATATTAGCATAGTTGTATCGAGTGTAATGTAACCAATTCTCTAGTACGTTTATTTATTTAAACAAGTGCTTTTTATATGAGTAATTTGTTTAACAGAAAAACACTCTACACATTAGTGGCAAGTTGACAACCGAACATAGGGATATTTTATTACACGCAATTATCAAAAAGCGACACCAAATTTGGAACATGTTAGGAATATTCACATCAAATTTCTCCATATAAGTAATAAAATAATATCCAATAAACCCAATTTAAACCTTTCTATAGAAAGATTATCCGAATTCTCTTAATTTATGACAGTTTTCAGAGAAGTAGGAGATACCAGATAGTCGTGGTTAACAGAGTATATACACCATGTTCATCAAATTAAATATTTTCGCTCGTACGATAAAGAAGATGCTGATAATGTGTAATAGCTACGTTCGGTGAATGTTTTTGCCTTATCTGATAATCAGTATTTATACCGTTGATGATTATTTCACTGTTTAGTTTTTTGTATGTACTATCTGTATCAAATCTCTTGTATCGACTATATCCCGAAGGGTGTTGGTCAACTATTCATAGGGTCATGGAATATTCCTAATATTTCCGGATACTTCTATATACTTCAATCGTGCCGCCGGTATCTGTCGACTGCGGCATTAGTTCAAATACCTTTTTATATTTTGGTATTGATTAAAACAAGTTAATAGTAGGACAAGAAAGCATTCTTGAAAAGTAAAATAGAGAATTGCAATGGATAAAATATAAAAAATAACAAACACAATAATTTAGTTATTTTTAATGGCCATTTCTTGCAAATTCACGTTTTCTTATAGTTGACAATTTATTAAATGTAATATCGCAAGTGATAAGAACTTTAATGCATAAGCAGGATTCAGAGTTTTTCGAGTATTTCTTCGTTGTAGTTGGTTATCCTGGTATTTTTAAAATAACACCTTATGCATTATGGAAAGGGATAGCAATTGAAGTAAGTAAAGATACTTAAATAAGAGCATGCATGAAGTGATAATTTATTAATAATCAAAAAATAACGGTCAGATATAAATTAATTACCTACAATAAATAAACACCCACATGGAGCTATCTGCAAATATCTTTTTTCTATACTGTTTTATCTACATTTTTGTTTACATTTGTAGATTTTAAACTTTATTGGAGTTTTTTCCTGGACATACGTGGATGTTTTTATAATGGGTGTTAGTATAGCGTTGTCTTCAAAATTTAAAGAAATGACTTTTAGAATAGAACAGTACGTTCGAAAAGATGTAAGGATTTCAAAATAAATTGCAAACTAGTCCTAAAAGTTAAGCAAATTTATTTAGGTATATGACATTTATCTTTGGAAAATTGTACGCGAAGATTACTGCCAAATGTGTCTTCTAACAAAATTGATGGACTCAAAATTATCGTATTTAATATTGCTGTCGTCTGCTAATAATTTATACTTTATACTTTCTCAATGTTTTCAAAGTTTAAGGTAAGAAAACAATTGAAATGATATTATCAGCTTTTCAGTCAGTTGTTAGAATAAAGTACTTATAATGACATTATCTAGAGATACAAACGATAAAACAATATTAAATTCGCATTAAACATCAAATCAATTGATCTCTGTCGAAAAAATACAATAAATTATTTCTGTATTTTCTTATAGGAATGCCAACGATAGTGGTTTGAAGTTGTATTTTATATATTCATTTTCATTCGTTATAATAAGAACGGTATGCGTTTATTTGATTGCAGCTTCGGTGAATATAGAAAGTTTGAAACCATTAAAGGCATTATATACTGTACAATCTCATATGTACAATTTAGAAGTAAGTGAACCGATATAATTGATAAGCAAATATGTTTCACTGAAACAATAAATTGCAGGTAAAAAGATTGATACGTTTCATCGCCTTGGATTCTGTATGTATTACAGGCAAAAATTTCTTCAATATAAAACGGCATATCTTATTAGATGTACGTAAAATTTTTAATTGATTAAGTTTGCAATTATAACAGTTTATCACCTTTTAGCTTGCTAGCGCTCTGGTAACTTATGAGCTTGTTATTGTTCAATTTACCAAAGAAGAATATTTTTGAAAAATGTTTGTACTTATAAGTATCAAACTTCCATGTATGATAAAATGTATGAATAATTTAATAAATTCTTCGTATTCCCGAATGGATGATCGTTTTTATTAAAAATTTAAAATAAAGTTAAAATTAAATTCGGACCGTAGTCTAGGATGGTTTATCCGACGTTTCGCCAACTGCTGTGTGTATCCTTAGAAAGCGAAGGCATAGTCCTTCGCTGTGTTGTTATACTGAATCTGAAGACTTTGGTTTTCCTTATTTCGGTAAACAGTTTCCTATTCCTAACCTTCTATAACGTATAGTAATATACACAAATTAATTTTGAATCGATGAAATAAAAATGTAGAACTTCAAGTTATTCAGTATCTTAATTCAATTTTCTTTTTTATTAACGTACTCATAACGTTTTCCATCTAATCGTATTTTTAATTAATATATAAAAAAAGGATAAATTGATATAAACCTTCAGATAAAATCAGGGAATTTATATCAATAAATGTTATTTAGTATGTACAGTTCTGAAACAGGTAAATAAAATAAAAAAAACTATACATTTCATGTTTATACGTTAAAAATGTTGTAATCTTACAAACTAACTTAAAATCGAACTGTTACATTTTCAGAATTTTTTATTTATTATTTAAAAAACTGTAAACGCTGCATTGCGTATGCACTTGACCTTTTGCTATTGATTTTAGTGTTTTATTGAAAGTAAGCAATTTATTTGCCATTTCTGAATTGCAAAAGGTAAATTTACACTAATATACCGGATCCAATACATGAATAGTTAGCAAAAATAATGGGAAGTGTTATTACAAAATCATAAAAACAGATTTTATTCTTAAATGCACTGGTACACGTTTTAGTCATTCAATAAGTCCACTATGTAATTGATTTGAATATTTAGTACCAAATAAATTTTACACATAGACACAAGTGATTTACTGAATATGTCTTGTACCTATATGCAATTATTCAGTCGCATTTCCAATAAACGTTAGCCTTGACAAGGCAATCCAACAGAAGTAATAAAATTTTCCGGAGTCCTGGGAAACCCAGGTAGCTTGGTAGCTTTATTAAAATTTCGCAAAAATGCGTGAATGTATTATAGGGGACACATTTTTCGATTCAATGAAATTGCTTGTATTGGTTGGTTATTATATTTGTGTTATTCCTTTGAAAGAAATATTTCAAGATAACACATCACTAATAAAATTTCGATGGCTATATTGGAGGACTTTTGTTAATGTATTTATTACTATTATGGATTTCGTATTAGCAATCGTTTTTATATATGCAATGATCAAATGGGGCTTCAACATCAGTTCTTTTGGTAAGAAAAGCATTGAATATCGCAAAATGAAGAAAAATGTTTCAATTTAATCATTCGAATCATATTACTATTAGCAATATTATCATTCTTGTTATAAATGTAATTAATATTCTTTTGTTCTTGGCTCTTTCAAAAACGTCTGCTAATCCTAGATATCTAAACTAATATAGATGGTATCTATTATTTCAGCAAGCGCTGGTTTTTTTCTTAATTGCTTCGCATCGTATTTATTATTTTTAATTTTATCAAAAGATTGGTTTGTTGTACTTGAAGAATGGAAACGGTTAGAACAACGAATTAACAAAGTAACATGTAGATATGAAGTAAAGCTAAAAAGAAAAATCCTTATCATTTCTGCTGTGTTCCTGATTTTAACTGTAGGTAAGAAACAAAATTGAATTTTTGTATATTTTCTTTAATAAATACTTAAATAAAACATTTCAATACAACATTAAAAATTAACAATCGACAGTAGTTGTTTATAAACAAATATGGAATACAAAATAGGTACTTATACAAACTTATAGATTTTTCCTTTGTATCAATGGCTATCGCAAAAAAGTTTTTGAACTTTTTAGTTTTTCGAAATTAAGAAAGTAGTAGTTAAATAGGCAGTAAATGACAAATAATTATTTTTATTTTATTAAAATTTAGTGGATAGCGCATCAAATACAGCGGTTCAATTTTCAATTGCATTTACGAACAAAGGGGATGTAGAAGTCTTTGAATATTTTTTTACCACGATGAGGCTTAATTTATTTTTCCAAATGACATCGTATTCCTTGTGGAAAGCAGCTGTTGTAGAGGTAAGTACCTGTTTCATTTAGTACAGTAAAGAAATAGATCTGGTTTTGACAATATTTAGCCAACGAAAAAACTATGAATCCTAAAAATAATAACAATATAAGAACTATAATACAAATTGCATTCAAGTCCGCTTACATGGATTTGGAAAACTCTTCCTTGTTCGATACAGATTTCAATATATTTTGTTCTGTAACGTGTGGATCATTTTAAATATTTTGCACTGCAGGGTTAAGAAATATTTTTTTTTGAAATATGACTTAACTTTTCTTGTGAAAATTCCATAATTAGGATGTGTTATTTAACGCAATTAATTATGAAAGAGTATGTGCATTATTTGTTTGCAGACATTTAATTTTATTGGATCATTTTGTTGGGCATACGTAGATGTTTTCATAATGGTTAACGGAATTGCCCTGTCCTCAAAATTTAAGCAAATTTCATTTAAAATACACCAGTATGTTCAAATGGAGGTAAGTGGTTCTCAATTTTATTCTGATTTATGCAGATTTTATTTAAACTGTACAGATGTTGTATTGCTATCAGAATTATTTTTACATAAATACGGTGATATGTTTTAGGTATCTGATTTATATCTTTGGAAAATTCTACGGGAAGATTATTTCGACCTATGCATTTTAACAAAAACTGTCGATAAATCTTTGTCTAATTTGGTTTTGCTTACTTCGATAAATAATTTCTATTACATCCTTTCCCAGCGCTTCTATAATGTGGAGTAAGTGCAGATAAGTTATTTTTGAATGGATTAGATGTATCTCATGGAAACGAAAATGTAGAAGAAATATATCTTATAATAAGATTTTGGATTTCGAAAATGAACACTGAATTCATGTTTTTCTGCTTGATATTTTAGCAAATATTACCCAACACGAATTTTTATGCTTAGTAAAGGACAATTAATGAATAGAAGAAAAAATTTGATCTTAGGATAACTTTTTATTTCAGTGTATCTGTTTGAATTGTGTAAGGCTTTCGCGGCTGTTGACCAATTTCGACCATCGTTTGGAGATTTTTCTTCTCCAAGAGATCTGTTCTGGTGATTAATTCAGCGCTGATTGGCGATCTCGGTGGCCATATTTATATTTGAGTTTGTCGATGTTCAAGGATTTCTGGTTTCATGATGGTTGGTTTTTTCGGTTCGGTAGTTTTTAGTGTTGGAATCCAAGCACCATTCTTCTACTCTGCTAAAGTTGTTTTTATGTTTGTGTATTTCTATTACTTCCCTGTACAATCTGGAGTAGTATGATGATTCGGTGACCTAAACTTCAGTGTCTTCGAATCTAACTTTGGGGTAAATGCTGTTTGAAATGTCTTCTGCCAGTGCGAATTTGTTAGTGTGTCGTTGTCGACACTTTACATTATGTTCCTTTACTCTTGTGTTGATGGATCGCTTTGTAGTTCCTATGTAAACGAATCCACTATATGCCTAGTCTCTTTGGTATCTGGCTCATTGAGGAAATCGCTCCCCTCTCACCATAAGTACATAGAAACTACAAAACCATCTATGGACGTAAGAATGAAAGAACACAAAACAAATTATCGTGCAGGGCACACCAAGAAGTCTGCTGTGACAGAACACACTTTAGACCACAGAAGCAGATTCGAAGATATTGAAGTTTTGGCCCCCCGAAGGGAAGTGACAGATATATAATACCAGAGCACCTCTCGCCAGTCTGCACTAAAATAATCATAAGAACAGCCCTTATAAAAATACCAACCGCTTAAAACCCAATAGCGCATATCTGCCTGAAGTTGATTAATTTTTAATTAACAGTACTTACGTTTTCCATCTAATCGTTTTTCCAATTACTACACAAAAAAATAAGTTGATATAAATTTCAAGATAACCAAAGAATTTATATTATGGAATTCAATATATAATAATTTTTTTTGTATATTTTTTTAAGGGATATGCAACATTATGGCCTGAAAGTGTGCTTTATCTTTTCATTCACATTATCTGTTACAAGAACTATTTGTGTTTACCTATTTTCGGCTTCTGTTAATTTGGAAAGCACCAAACCACTAAAAGCATTATGTAGAATAGAACCTGATATTTACAATATTGAAGTACGTAAAATATAAATATTACAAAATTTGATTTTAAATAAAATATATCCTGTTACATGTTTTAATAAGCAATTAAACTAATCGTATTTAAATGTAATTGTCCACGTTGTAGGTGGAGAGACTAATTCGCTTAATTGGTTCCGATACCGTTTACATAACCGGTAAAAACTTTTTTAATATCAGAAGAGGAATTTTATTAGATGTAAGTAAATCGAAGCCAATAATAACAATACTTGCTCCATCATATTTTACTTTCATTTGTAGAAAAAATATATTTTATATTAGGTTGGATTCCTATAAAATTTGTAATTAAAAGTACCTACTACCTATGAAAGACATTCTGTTTCAGATTGCTAATGCTTTAGTGACATGCGAAATAGTATTAGTACAATATTTCGGAAAAAGTTCCTAAGTAAATCCCTAAAATGTACATATATTTACCTATACACAATCAATAATTATTTGTTTGCAAAAATTTTAAATAAAAAATGCAACGTTTCTTAATAGAAAGTGTTACTTTATCTAAAAATATTAACTTACCGTTATCCTTATTGTCCTTACTCACTCAGATATGCATTTGGTAATTTTGAATACAACAGGATTGAAGCTTATTATCGCAATTATCCTTATGTCCTTATAATTTTAAAACACCTTTTAAACAAATGCACCAACAACACGTTTCCACTAATTTCACAGTAAATTTCAACCGGCTGGTATGACTAAAATCGTACAATATACGAGGGTGGATTGATAAGTTTCCGGCCTGACCAAGAAAAACAAGGTTTTTAAAAATTTTTTTTTTTTATTTCTCAACATAATCTCCTCCAAGGCTGATACATTTCTCATAGCGGTGTTCCAGTCTATTAATGCCATCTCTATAGACTGATTCGTCAAGCTCCTCAAAATAACCATTTACAGCTTCGATTACTTCTTC